ATATTTGGACACCAAAATTTGGGCATCCAATGCTCTATTAAACTTGTAAAAAAAATATAAAAATAATATTTCCAATAAAATAAAATAAAATAATCAAAATACCCATGAAAGTTTTAAAAGGTATTTTGGTCATTATATTTTATTGAAAATTTATTTTTAATATTTTTTTATAGGTGCGCCCTAATGAGAAGATGGCATGTATCAAATTTCATATTCATACAATTTGTATTAAAAACATTAAAAATAAAATACTATGGGGCTTCATATCTAGGATCAAACGGTAAGTGTCTCACTTATCAAAATTGGACGAATGGTTGGTAGGGAAACAATAAGAAAAGTATAGAAACAGTTCCCACTTGTTTTTGTCAAACATGAAACTGTTACAAAAACAAATAAGTTCCATCTTCGGGTAAGTATCTTCTAGTTATCAAACATGTCCCTAATGTCACTCTTCATAAGAGGTTAAAGATTAAACTAGTCATAACAAAAGACTCTCCCTGATGGTTAGGGACTTGGCATGTGATTTCTCTTCCTGATTTGCTTTTATGCTTCCATACAAAAAGCAAATAACCCCCACTAGCATGAAAATTTTTTCCCTCCTGTACCCAATGAAGTGTGAAGACAACAACATATGCAAATTTGTTTGGGAAAGGTTTTTATACTTTTTCTACAACATAGAAGATCTATGCTTACCCTACCACCAACCGTCTAATTTTGATCAAGAGAGCCGCTCACCATTTGATCTTAGATTTGACCTCTTAAAGTATTTAATTTTTAGTCTTTTTTATATAAATTGCATGAATATGAAATTTGTGGGGCACACCTATAAAAAATATTAAAAATTATTTTTCAATAAAATATAATGATCAAAATACCCCTTAAAATTTTCAAGGGTATTTTGGTTATTTTATTTTATCGAAAAGAGTTTTTTAATATTTTTCGTTAGTGCAAGGTTAATAGAGGAATAGACGTCCAAAATCCTCTATTAAAAATATTTTATAGAAAAAAATTAAAAATAAAATAGTGTTGAGACTTGACATTGCGATTGGGGCAATCTTAGCCCTCCATTTAGAATGGACGGTTCGATAAGGGGAAGTATATAAGTTTTATGCTGTAGGGGAAGCATAGAAAGCTTTCTATGCTTACCCTACAACATTAAACTTATATACTTCCCCTTATCCAACCGTCAATTTTGAATGGCGGGCTAAGATTGATCACAATGTCACGTCTCTACATTATTTTAGTTGTAATTTTTTTATATAAAATATTCTGACATCAAATTTTGGGCTTCTAATCTTCTATTAAACTCTCACTCGTAAAAAAATATAAAAAAATAATATTCCTAATAAAATAAAATAACCAAAATACATCTAAAAATTTCAACGGTATTTTGATCATTATATCTTACCAAAAAATTATTTTTAATATTTTTTATAGGTGGGCCCCAATAAAAAGTTAGCACGAGCCAAATTTCATATTCATTTGTATTAAAAAAATGGGAAAAGTTTATATAAGGTTGCAACCTTAAAATGTAGAATTACAGATGCACCTCAAAAATCTATCGAAAAGGTTGTTTTAATGTTAAAAAACCCTCTATTTGATCATCTTGACATCGAGATGTACGAATATAAAAAAAAAAAGTTTTTGAGTCTCAGAAATAGTGTATCTTGCAACACATTATCTAGGCCATCTATTTTCAAGATTTTCATATGTTTATAGATCTCTTTGATTTTAACGATTTTTGAAGTTAAAAAGTTTCAAATTAGATATGAAAATAGGTTTTAAAATAAGGGTGTAGTTAGCATACGGATGCATCCGTAGCTGTAGAGGTAAGGTGCACCTTCAAATTTTATCATGGTATATAATTTTGATGTAAAATATTTTTAGGATTATCTCAAAATCTATATTTATATCTATTTCTAAAATTTTAAATTCAAAGATGGTTAAAATCAAATAGATCTATAAACATATGAAAATCTTGAAAATGGACTGTATAGATAATATGTTGTAAAATACACTATTTTTGAGACTTAAAAATCTTTTTATTTTTCATTTTTATATATCTCGATGACGGTATGAACAATCAAAAGGTTTTTCAACTTTAAAACTATTTTTTTCGATGGATTTTTGAGGTGCATCCGTAGTTCTACATTATAAAGTTGCATCTTATATAATATTTTTCGTTTAATATAATCCTAAGAATTTTTTTACATCAAAATTCATGTTATGCTACGTTGAACCTAGAATCAAAAGGTGAGTGGAAAACGTATTAAAACCGCTGGTTCGTAAGGAAAGTAGTAGGGGAAGGATAGAACCTTTTCCTTTGCTTGTCCCCAACGACTGCCCTAACCACAAAGCAGAGGCCATCTCGCGTCTTCACTTTGCCCCTACAACTCTCCTTACAAAGGTACAACTCAGTTTTTTCTCTCTCCCCTGGATTTCTCGATTTTTTCTCTATGCCATGGTTTTTTCACTCTGATTTTTTCTCTCCCATGGTTTTTTTTTCTCTCTCTCTCTCTGGTTTTTTCTCTCTCCCATGATTGTGGGTTTGAAGATGTATGTGGGTTTGAAGATGTGCATTTTGTTCCAGCTGAGAAACGGATGCAATATAGGAGAAACGGATGGAATATAGGGTTTTATTAGGTTCCGAACATGGTGAAAATGGATCAAGGGTTTTCTCTGAATATTGTTTTGTGGTATATTGTTCTCTGTAGGAAATTAATAATTTCGCTTTTTTTTTTTTGGTAAACTGTTCTTTGTAGAAACCTTGCTACTCATACCTCCCTTCAATCCTTCCTCTCTCCACTCCAGCTGAATTCCACAGTTCTCTCATTTTCCAATTCTTCTTTTCATCTGGTTTCTTCTACTACACAGGTGACATTCATAACCATTTGGTGTCCCTTTTTTATTTTTTGTGACTGCTATCATCTGAAAATGAGATAATCAGTGAGATTGCTTAAAATTGATTCATGATTAGCTTATTTTTTTCTTCATTGATAGTTCTTTGTTGGTCGTTAAAAAAAGAAAGAAAAAAGTTTGCAGTATTGCTTTCCTTTTTGCCATAGGTTTAGATTAAGCTTACTTTTATTTTTCAATATCAAGCATAGGGTTTTATCTGACCATTGAGAATGTAGTTATAGAATCAGCGAACAAAAAAATACAACTTGTTATAGATTGACTGGAATTTTTTGCAAAGAACAACATTTCTCAAGGAAATCAGCAGGAAATTTGTTGAGTTTGTTGTGGAATTTTAGTTCAGGAAATGGTTGAAGAATCCAATATTCAATTTAATTAATCCTGACTATTTGATGTAAAGAATAGTTTTTCTAGGCAAAACAGAACAAATCATTGCCATGAAGTTTGAAGTAGAGAAAATTGATTATCTTTGATGATTGAGGTGAATTTTAGTTATGATGGTGAATGGGGTAATTTTGAAATATTTAAAGGTGTATTGCCTCTAAAGTTTGTATAACTCTTTCATATGACTGAACCATCCAAAAAAGAATGCCAATGTTGCTCACCATTATGATGTTAATTCTGCTCACTGTTATACCGTTTATAGTATGTTATCAGTTGAAAACTGGCTCTTCATATAGCTGTATTGGACCTCACGAATGAATATATCCATAGTAACATAGCTTTAGATGTTTAATTCTCTCCTTTGGTCTTTTCTAATGATGTTTGATGAACACATAATAATAATAATAATAATAATAATAATAATAATAATATGGTTGTTCTGTCTGTGTGTGTTGACTACAGAGCACCTGTTATGTAACTGATTAAAGAGTATTTTGTGTGTGTGTGTGTAGACTATTGCGTAAGGCCTGTTATGTAACTTAGAACTTCCTTATAATCCAGCAGGTTATCAAAGATAGAGACCCATAACTTCTTTAACATTCCAACAAGTTATCAAACGTTGAAACCCCGAACTTCTTTAACATTCCAGCAGGTTATCAAACACATAAACCCAGAACTTTTTACAGTAACGTCTTTCTTCCCGGCAAAGAAGAACTTCCAATTTCTAGGGAATATTTACCTTCCAGTTATCAAACTCGCCCTAGAAGCCAGAGGGGTTAGGAGGGTTTCTATGGAACCCTTTGTCATTGTGCGATTATAATTTCTGGTAGTTACAATTATGAGTGGGTTTTTATGCCAAGAAGGCTTTGTATGGAGTTTTCAGAAAAAAATTTACATCGTAGTCCAAAACACAAAATTGTGCTAAGAAGGGTTCGGATAATATTTACAAGTGTAGTTGGTTAAAGAAACTCAAATATTGAAAGGAGTAAGTTGGTACATCCAGTGACGAGGTATCAAAACTTTGATGGATGGGAAGAGCCAGTGATTGAAAATACTGACTTTTGCATGGAACTAGGCGGGTCCAAGTCCAAGTCAGCCAGTTTCACTCAGACAAATCTCTACATGACTCATTTAAGTCTGTGGAAAACTATTCTATAACCTCAAGAACTCGTGAGACTCAGCCGGTTTCCCTAGGTTTCTTTAATGGCGAGATCCAAGTGATTCAGACGAGTATGAGTTGGACTTGCAGAGTTTTAAAACACTAGGAAAGACCATGAAATGGGTGGGTGGGAGAAGGCAGGTTGAGTTGTTATGATGATTTCATAGGCACTGTTTGATTCTCAGGCCAAATTGCAAGCTGGGCCTACTTGATGTTTATATCTTGTAATTTGGCTGCAGTGGTTGTTTGATTCCAAATTTGAAGTGATTTGTAAACGCCATTGGGCCCCCAAATTGAATTTTTGCAGAACCATTCCAAGTTGTTTTGTAAAAAATTCAATTTCTTTGGAAGGGGAAAAAAGAAAAAAAAACTACTACCATCACCATTGCTGCTGCCGTCACCTTCAACGCTAGCACTGCCTAGCCACCACTACTGCACCACCCATCACCACACTGCACCACCACCCAAGTAGAGCAAGCCTGAAATCTATTGCAATATTGAGGATTCCTTCTGAATCAATGAATAAGTATCCCATCCCCAATATATTCCTCTTCTTCATCCAACCAGTCAACCGCACATCATTACCATCTCATCGGCAGCTCAAGGATCTTCCTTCTCCACAACATAATTAGTAATGAATGCCTCACTTATGAGTTAAATGCCAAAGCCAATCTGTCTATTTGAATTGCATTTCAAGTAATTCCGTTGCTGAAGGAAAACAAAGGGTTAATCTGGTTTTTTTTCTAATTTCCTACTTTTTAAAGTTATTCACTCTCCTGTCTGTTGTCATAAAAAGGTTATTTGTGGCTTTGTCATTCACGACATCCGGAATCTAAACAGTTCTGAAGGCTGAAAAATTGGAATTTAGAGAGTATGAGCAAGTATTAATGCTCTCCCGTGCCTTCCTCTTTTGCCTTCTTGCTCTTTTGCCTTGCAAGTATAATACCAAGATGAAAACCTGGATTCTTTGTTCTTTTGAGCATATAAATGGAATATTAGGATGTCTCAGACCTGCTTTTAGATGTATTGACCCACATTGTGCAACGTGAAGGTTTTATATGATGTATTAGCATTGCCAATTTTATTGGTGTATTTTATTCTCAAGAGTATTTCTTGTGTTTTTTGGGATTTATTTATGCTTCTTGGATCTGGATTTCTTCCTTGAACATCAGTTTTCAAGGATTGCAAATTAGGTAATCTGAGCAGAAATGATATCTCATTACTCGTGGACTACATTTATGTCAATCGGTAATTCCACCATACAATGCATACTACGATGCATGATCACTGCATTTGGTTGACGATTTTAGAATGTTCTTTTGTTTCTTGTGCATTGTGCTCATATAGCAGACTGATAATAACTTGGTACTATAGTCTACTCTTCAATAAATTTCTGAAATACTTTTGAAACATTGGAACTTGTCTATAACTGTGCATCTGAAGCATCTGGTGATGATTGTGCCAGGCATGGTTCCCAAAATTCAGTCCTTATTTATGAAAAGTGTTTTAAGTTGTTTCAAGACAAGAATAAAGGGAAAAAAAAAGAGAAATAGTGGTTCTCTAAATACATATGAATATGTAATTGGTTCATGGTATGATGCAGTTACCAAAGTGAAAGGAGGTCATATTCATGACCACAATGGCGGATGAAGAGTCAAAGCCACTTGCTTTCGTTCCAGAAACTGTGCTGAAGAAGAGGAAGCAAAGCAGCGAATGGGCCATAAGAAAGAGGGCACAATTGGAATCTCGGAAACAAAGAACGAAGGAGAATCGTGCCCTTGTCTTCAAAAAGGCTGAAAATTTCATCCAGGAACACAGAAACAAGGTATAAATTCATTTATCATCTATTCAATATAATGCCCATTTATCTTGTTGCTTAAAATATTATTTTGGTATGTCTTTCTTTTATGAGTATGCAGAGAAATTGACCCCAATATAATAACCCGCAAGAGAAATGGACATTATTCTGTTATGTGTTATCCATTGACCTGCTTTGTTTTTCTCTCCTGAGATTTCTCCTTTTCTTCTTTTTCACTATTGATAGCATTCTGGTTTTTCGCAATTTCTTAAATTTCAGGAGCTGGATCTGATTCGTATGAAACGGGTGACGAAAAAGTTGCGAAGGTCATTTTCTGTCAACCCAGATGCTCAACTGCTCTTTGTAATCCGAATCAGTGGGTACGTTACAGTTCTGGATTATATCCCACGAAACGTACCTGGGTAGCTAAACAATACACAAATATTATATGATATTATATAATATATATTTGGTGCTATACTTAGTCACTTAATCTTCTTCTATGGGGAGTGAATTCACTAAAAAACAGGTCTATGCTTTCTCCCTACTTAATTGAAGCTTGCTCTTCCTCTTTCCCTTATTCCATATTTTCCCTTTCTGTCTTGTTTTACTTTTCTATATATATATATTTTTAGTTAAAGTGATTCATAGATGCATTGCTTAACCATGTTTTGGATCACTCTCTTGTTCAGCACCAATGACATGCATCCCAAGACTAAAAAGATCCTTTATCTGTTGAAGCTGAGTAATATCTTTGATGGGGTCTTCATCAAGGTGAACGATGCCATGATGAAAATGTTAAAGATGGTTGAGCCCTACATCACATATGGGTAGAGTGGAATCAATCCTTTTTCGTCTTTGACGCAATTGCTTTTGATATCATATATATTTCGATATGATGTGCGTCTATATATATCTTTGAAAAAAAGCTATCAATAGGTTGTCACTTAAAATAAATAGTGGTTTAGGTTAATATTCCCAATTGGCAGGTCTTGATTTGATGGTTAAAAAATGTATATTATTATTTGAATTTTAGTCTTAACACCATCATGCACCATAGAAAAATAAATAAATAAAATTATCAAAAGTTTGAAATGACCAAATTACCCCCACCATATACCAAGGGTTTTTTTGGCCATTTTAAGTTTTGGGAAATATTTGTTTTATATATTTTTTTTATGCGCCTGCTTATGTTTTTCACATAAAGTTTATGTCGACTCGATTTGCAGAAAAGATATTAAAATTCAACTAGTAAATTTTTTGAGTAGTTTAGTAGTAGGAATTGAACAAGAGATGTAGCGCCACTACGTCAAGCCCAAATAAATAGTAACATGCATTCAGAACCATCCAATCAAGTTCTGATGGCTGGGATTATAACCTAAATTACTATATATTTTAGGTGACAGCTTATTGGTAGCTTTATCCCCCCTAACCCCCACCCCTCGCGTCATATATATATATATATATATTCCTCTCTTTATATATACATATTTCCCTTCTCTCTCATATATATATATATATATATATATATATATATATGTTAACATCTTTTATTTTGCATTCTTTATATTGTGCAGATATCCTAACATGAAAAGTGTGCAAGAACTGGTTTACAAGAAAGGTTTTGGGAGAGTTCGCAAGGAGAAGGTCCCTCTCACCGATAACGTCATCATTGAAAAGGTATCAACTATCTTCTAGTCTTTTACTGTGATCACAGGACTTGCTTTGTTGCTGGCATCTCAATGCCAAACTTTTGGCAGTCAGTGTTCATGCATTCGCTTGTTAGTAGGAGCATATTGGGTACAAAAGCTCTGGCCCGAGACCCTGTGCAAAGGTGATATTTGGTGCTTGTAATGAGAGGTTTCGAGCCTATTGCAACATGTAAAGATTACCCATTTAACCATTACTTCCACCATCATCTGGATAAATCTCATTCACTAATGCATCCTTGGACCAATGATATGCCACTTTGCAGGGGTTTGGATGTGAGGCTTTTGTGCCCCCATCATGTTCCGCTTCTTTTATGAACATGAGATGACCGCTAGTAAACTAATACCATGCAAAATTAAATGGAAAGAAAGAAAGCATGTGTAATAATCATCCGAGTAAGGGGCAGTGGAAATGGTGGGCAGCCCTTATGTTCCATCATCGAAGTAGTAGCCAATGTTGCCCACCTGTCCGTCAATTCAACTATCGGCTAAGGTCCTGCCCATGAGTCATGGGTATTAGATTATGCGCCCTAGTCATGGGTGGTAGATCAAACTCTGCATGATGCTTGCGTTTGCGTGCATGCGTGAATTTGGGTCTTGGATTCCCAACATGTTGAGGTTTACCGATTTGTATTCAATATAATTTCTACTTGAGAAAAGTTCATCCAAATTATGATGGCCATTGCTAATTATTGTTGTTATTATCGTTAAGGGATTGTATGCCATGAGACCATGTATTTTGGTACAAGAAGGTTACAATTATCCTTGACCATCGGATGTGAAATTTGATGGTTCAAAGTGTCATGTGGTTCAAGAAATTTTATTTTGGATCTCTTGCCTAGTGAAGAATACATCCCTAACCACGCGATTTCATATCTAATGGTAGATAATCATTATAACTTCCTTGTGCCAAAGCTAAATAATGTCACTGTATACATATATATTTTGGGAAATGACCGTGTGAGACCTTTTTACACCCATGTGTGTAAAACTTCAAAGGATTTAGAAATGTTAAGTCCCACACGTGATAATTTTTCTAAAGATCTGAGTCAAATTTAATGGTGATCATTTGGGGGTTTTATGCACATAGGTATGGGAAGATCTAATAGAATCATTACTCATATTTTTTTGGGTGAATTTTTATTATATACATTTTAATATTATTAATTTCATGCTTCCCTCTTATTTTTGCTTTCATGATGCACAGGCCCTACATAAATATGGCATCATATGTTTGGAGGACATAGTTCATGAGATCACTACAGTGGGACCTCGTTTCAAAGAAGTCATCCGCTTCCTTTACCCATTCAAGCTTAATGCTCCAATGGTTGCCTTGGAAAATAAGAAGAAATTATTTTCAGAAGGAGGGGAAGCGGGGAATCGTGAAGATCATATCAATGAACTTATCAGAAGGATGAATTGATATCATTGCTATTTCTAGTGAGAATGGTCAGTGAGTAGCGATAATTATTTCATCAGAATTGTATCTTGCTCTAATTTTTGTAGAAAGTGGCTACTCGTACTTCGGTTGAGAATATTTACAGCTAGAATTACAGTTGCATTTTTTTTTTTTTTCCTGAAACCACATAGAGAATGAGTTTCGCTAAAAATAGAATCCGATGAAGTAGATAGCACAGAAATCAGTTTGCTAAGTGGGCTTGGGGTTGTCATGGTGAAAACGGACAACAATGCAAGTTATATTGTCGCCACTGCCTCGATCAAAAGCTTCCTGAGTTAGCCTCTTGGCTGCAGCTACCGCATCCTCGATTGGTTGCACCAAGGAAACAGCTTCCTGATTTAGATAGGAAAAACAAAATCTTCCTGATTTAGATGGGAAAAACAAAAGGACATGCGCAACAAACCATCCAGACAATGAGAGAGGAAAAGAGAACTTTAATCCAAAACATTAGCTCCTATTCTTGGTGAGTTTGAAAGAGACGGTGAGGGGAAGAGAGCGAAAACATTGGATTCTTTTGTGCGCTCTCATTGAGAGATCAAAACACAAAAAATAGAGCGAGGGAGAGAGAACATTACTCCAACCACAACTTTTTGTATTTAAGAAGGATCATATTTAAGAAAAAGAAAGCGTTTATGGCTCCATGAGTCAACAAACCCGGGTTTTGAATTAAAATCTTATTACGTCAAACCTTGAGTGTTTGGATGGCTCATGGATCACCTTTTTATAACCTAATTTATTATTAGGGGTCGTTTGGAAGGCATGAAACTTTTTATATAACCTAATTTATTATTAGGGGGGTTTGGAAGGCATCAAAGCTCAACAGGAAAAATATTATTATGGGAGGGGGGGGGGTTTGGAAGGCATCAAAGTTCAATAGGAAAAATATTTACATATGCAAACAGTTTACAGGTTAAAATTACTCAAGCATGTTGTTTTTTCCATGTTTGGTAAGCACAGGTGGAAACAAAGAGAGAAAAAGAGAGCACATCAAACTTGAAATTTTAAAATAGTTTATCTCTAAAAATTCTAAAATAGTTTTCCACACTCTAAAATTCAAAATTTGATATACTCTCTCTGAAAATTTTGAAATATAAGTTTTTTCTAAAATTTAAAATTTGAAATAGCTTCTCTCCGAAAACTTTGATATGGTAACTATTTAGAAAGATTGAGACAAGTTTCTCTCTAAAATTTTTTAGGTCGTTTCTCTCTCTAAAATTTGATATACTTTATCTCTCTAAAACTTTATGATACTTTTGTCTCCAAAACTTAAAAATTAAGATAGTTTCTCCATAAATTTTGAGATAGTGTCTATCTCTAAAAATTTCCAATAATCTCTCTATAAAATTTGATATAATTATTCTCTAAAATTTCAAGATACTTTCTCTCTAAAACTTAAAATTTGAGACTTCTCTCTCTAAAATTTTTTAGATAGTCTCTCTAGATATTTTTAGGTAGTTTTTCTCAAATTTGATATAGTTTCTCTTTAAATTTTTTTAAAGATAATTTCTCTAAACATAAAATTTAAAATAATTTATTTCTAAATTTTTTTGAGATAGTTTCTCTCTAAATTTTTCAGGTAGTTTCTCTCTAAAATTTGATATAATTTCTTTCTAAAATTTTAATATACACTCTTTCTAAAACTAAAAAATTTAGATAGTTTCTCTCTTTAAGATACTTTTTGTCTCTAAAACTTAAAATTAAGATAGTTTCTCCACAAATTTTGAGAGAGTTTCTGTCTCTAAAATTTCCAAGAGTCTCTCTATAAAATTTGATATAATTACCCTCTCTAAAATTTTAAGATACTTTCTCTCTAAAATTTAAAATTTTGATACAACTTCTCTCTTTGAAAATTTTGATATTGGTCTCCCTCTAGAAAGTTTTAGGTAGTTTTTCTCAAATTTAATATAGTTTCTCTTTTTAAATTTTTTTAAGATAATTTCTCTCTAAAAATAAAATTTAAAATAATTTCGTTCTAATTTTTCTTTGAGATAGTTTTATCTCTAAAAAATTTCAGATAGTTTCTCTCTAAAATTTGATATAGTTTCTTTCTAAAATTTCAAGATCCACTCTTTCTAAAACAAAAAAAATTAGATGATTTCTCCCTCTAAAATTTTTAGCGAGTTTATCTTTAAAAAATTTGAGATAGTTTCTCGCTCTCTAAAAATTTTAGATAGTTTCTTTCTAAAAAATTAAGATACTTACTTCCTAAAACTTAAAATTTGAGATAGTTTCTCTCTAAAATATTTTAGGTAATATCTCCCTAAAATTTGATATAGTTTCTCTCTTTAAAATTTTAAGATGATAGTTTCTCTTTCTAAATCTTACAATTTAAGATAGGTTATCTCTTTAAAAATTTTGAGATAGTTTTTCTCTAAAATTTTTCAAGTGGTTTCTATCTCTAACATTTGATATAGTTTTTCTTTAAAACTTTAAGGCACTTTCTCTCTCTAAAACTTAAAAATTTAAGAGTTTCTCCAAAATTTGAGGTAGTTTCTCTTTGAAATTTGATGTAATTTCTCTCTAAAATTATAAGATAGTCTTTTAAAATTAAATTTTATGACAATTTCTCTCTCTAAAATTTTTGAGAGTTTCTCGGTCTAAATTGTTTTAGGTAGTTTCTCTCTCTAAAAGTTGACATAGTTTCTCTAGAATTTTAAGATAATTTCTCTTTAAAAATTTAAGATCTTGTCCAAAAACTAAGTGGTGGAATTTAAAAAAATAAAAAAATAGACTTATTTAGGGATAATTTAGTTGAAGAAGGAAAATTGAACTCTGAGCTTCATAATATGGAATAAGATGGTTGACTGTATCAAAAAAGTGGCAAAAGAAGTTTCAAACGAATTTAGAGAGAGAATAAACTTCAATAAGGAAACTTAGTGGCGGAGTGATGAAGTTCAAAATGCCATTAACGAAAAACAATCATGTTAAAAACTTTACAGTGATAGAAACAATCAAAACTTAAAAAAATATAAAAATGTTAAAAAAAACGTTAAACAAATAAAAAGTAGAGCTAAACTCAAAACATATGATAATCTATACAATAAATTGGGAACAACAGAAGGTGAAAAAGATGTCTTTAAATTAGCAAAAATAAGAGAGAAAAAAGGTGTAGGGATCTAAACTGTATGAAATGCATTAAGAGTGAGGATCAAAGAGTCATGGTTAAGGATGACGAGGTCAACGAAAAGTGGGGAGTTTATTTTAAAAAATTATTAAATGACAAACATTATGGGAACATAGTGGTAGAAGGAACTGGTGCTACAAATGGGCGTGGAGGCCATAGATACATTTGTAGGACTAGGATGTCAAAAGTGAAATAAGTTTTGAAAAAGGATGAAGATAGGAAATGCTTTAGGACCAGATGGCATCTCGATAAAAGTTTGAAAATGCATGGGGGTGATTGGCATTGACTGGCTGACGAAGCTGTTCAATAGGTGTTAAGAACAAACAAAATGGCAGACGAATGAAGGAAACGTATTGTGGCATCTATTTACAAGAATAAATGAGACATACAGAATTGTGCAAAATATTGAGGGATCAAGCTATGAAGCTTTGGGAGAGAGTGATTGGGTAACAACTAAAGTATGAAACGAGTGTATCTAAAAATCAATTTGGTTTTATGCCAAGAAAGTCCACAACGGAGGCTTTTTTTCTACTTAGGCAACTGATTGAGAAGTTTAGGGCGAAGGGAAAAGACCTTTATATGGTCTTTATTGATCTAGAGAAAGCTTATGATAGAATAACTCAAGATTTAATTTGGCGGGTGCTGGAAAAAAAATGATTCTCCAGACACTACATCGACTTGGTGAGAGATATGTATGATGGAGCATTAACTAGTGTACAAACAACTAGTTGAGAGACGAGTATGTTTTCAGTGACAATAGGTCTACATCAACGGTTAGTATTGAGCCCGTACCTCGTTGTCTTAGTTAAGTACGACTCAATTAGGCTCCTATAGGATGAGGTACCATGGTACATGTTCGCAGATAACATAGTTTTGATCGATGAGACCCCAAACAACGTCAACACAAAGTTAAAACTTTGAAGTGATGCTCTAGAATCCAAATGTCTTAATATTAACCGGACTAAGACAGTATATAAAATGCAAATTTAATACTAATAGGATTAGAGACAAGAAAATAGTTAAGATTGACGGCCAATAAGAACAAAAAAGACATCACTTTTGATATATTGGGTCGATAATATAGAAAAATAAAGATATTGAGGAAGATGTCTTAATTAGAGCTGGATGGGCAAAATGAAGATGTGCAACTGAAATTTTATGTGATCGCTGCATATCAATGAAGCTAAAGGACAAGTTCTATAGGACAACTGTAAGACCAGTTGTGATTTATAGGACAATGTTGGATGGACAAAAAATAATATACCGATAGAATGAGTGTAGCGGAGATGAAGATGTTGAGATGGATAAATGACAAGGCAAGAAGAGATAGAATTAGAAATGAATGCATTCATTAGAATTTAGGTGTGGCACTAATACGCAATCAGATGAACAAGAGTAGACTTATGTGGACGGACCATGCATGGCATTGACCAAGTAAAATATACTTGTTAGGAGGTGCAAGTTAATTCAAGTAAAATGACTAAAAAGGACAAGAGGTTGGCCCAAAAGGATGTGGTTTGAAGTAGATCGAAAAGATATGAGAACTTATAACCTCACTTAAAGTATGACCTTTAATATAATAGAATGACAGACCAAGAATCGTGTAACTGACACCAATTAATTGGAAAAAGGCTATGATGATGACAATGATATCTAAAACTAAAAATTTTAACTAGTTCTTTAAAATTTGATATCTAAAATTTAAAACTTGAGATAGTTTCTCTCTAAATCATTTTGAGATAGTTTATCTCTAAAATTTTTTAACTACTTTCTCTTGAAAGTTTGATATAATTTCTCTCTAAAATTTTAAGATACTCTCTCTCTAATACTTAAAATTTGAAATAGCCTCTCTAATTTGCGGGGGTGATTTAATATAATTAATTATACTTGTAGATGGCTTAATAGTAGTAGTAATAATAATAATAATAATAATTACTATATATTAATATAATACTATTATGCATGATATTATAATAATATCAATATTTGTTATTCCTATATTACTATAAGTAATCAATATTAATAATATCATTGTATTATCATCAGTTGTATTATATTGTACACTCTGATGCTAACATAAAGTCAAGTTTTGGACAAGCCAATTTTTTTTTTTTGACTGTGTACCCATGTTTTTTTTGCCCTCTTTCTTACTTATCGAAAACCTCATTATGGGTAAAGTTGCCCAACATATTTTGTTTTGTGCAAAATACCCTGGGTATACAAAATATAATCTTAGATACCCTAGGATCCAGACACCCCTAAACGTTCAGAGAAAGAACAAAAAAAAGCACCGACAATCCACAATATTAACTTGTGCTTGCCGGGAGGAAGAATAAAATATGCTCATTCATAGAGTGTGAGCGCGCTGGATACCTCATTGCTGATGACGTCCCACAGACCGTCACTGGCAAGAATGAGAAATTGCAAAGAGCCGTTGATCACTTCTTCCTACAATCTCATTACGCCAAAAGCAAATCCAATCAATTAAGGAAACTTGAATGCTGGTGCTAAATAGTGTGAAAAAAATATTTCAGCAAAAATACGTATATTTGGTATGCATGAAAGTACTTTTATACTTCTGTAAAAGTATTTTCACATGAAAAACTCCCATGTGATTAGGTACAAGAGTTTTTTCACATCAATTAGCTACCAATTGATGTGAAGAAATAAACTATAACTTAATTGGTATGAAAAACTCTTACCTAATCACATGGGTAAATTCTTCGACATGAAAATACTTTTACAAAAGTAATTTCATGTGTACCAAACATGTCCTTGAAAATATTTTCATGTGAAAAACCTCTCTCACATGTAAGAGTTTTTTCATGCCAATTAATCCTAATACATTTTTTTTCGCACTAAGTGACAGCCAATTAATGTGAAAAAACTCACCTAATTCAAGAAAGTTTTTTTCACATGAAAATACATTCATAGAATTATTTTCACACGTACCATATGTGCCAATTGTCTTTCTCATGTTACATTTAAAAAATAAACAATAAGTATTTCTTACATTGTTCAAAAAGTTTGCACATAACCCGTGTTCGGGGGGGGGGGGGGGGGGGGGGGGGGGGGGGTAAATATTAAGTATTTCCAAGAGATTTCATGCTCCCGAGCACATTTACTCCCTCATGCAAAAGGAGTACTTATAACCCCTCAAATTTTTTGGGGATGTAACCTCTTCAAACCATTATGTTATACTCAATTAAAAAGATTTTCAAAATCGCCTTCTCAATGAACTCAAAAAATAATGGCCTCAAGATGAAATGTAAACCATCCAATTTTTTGTGAATGGTAAGACCTAATTTTTAGAAAACTTAAAATTCAATTTATTTTTAAATATAATCATCATTGTGATTTTAGGTGATTTTCAAAATTTCAAATCTACAAATCTCCCAAGTTAGTTTTTGTTCCGAGGGATAAGTGTACAATATGGTCCTGCAGGAGCACATTATACACACTTTATTTTCAATTTTTTTTCGCAATCCTGCTCAGGCAGTTCCGAGGAATTTGAAAGTTTGGAGAAAAAATTTCTGAAAATTAAATGGGAAAGGTTTATATACTTCCCCTACAGTATGAATATGAAATTTAGTACGTGCCATCTTCTCATTGGGGTGTACATATAAAAACTATTAAAAATAATTTTTTGATAAAATATCGTAACAAAAATACCCCTTGAAACTTTCAAAGGTATTTTGATTATTTTATTTTATTGAAAATATATTTTTTATATTTTTTGCTAGTGCGAGTTTATTAGAGGAGTGGACGTACAAAATTTGGTGTCAACCAGTTTATATAAAATTTTTTTTAAATAAAATAGTGTAGAAACGTGACATTGTGCTTGGGGCAATCTTAACCCTCCATTCAGAATGGAGGGTTGGATAAAAAGGAGTACATAAGTTTTATGTTGTAGGAGAAGCATAGAAAGCTTGCCCAAATTAAATACTCAGCCCCATATGGATCGTAAGTTATAGCTAATAAGGAGTTATGAGATTGTATACTATGAAGCCATTTACATTTGGTACATAGAGATCACAATTATTTTTTAAATATTAGATGTGACTTCTAACATATTGAAATGCATAATAACATTCGAGAAAATTTATTTTGAACATTGTGCTAAATCAATAACAAACCTTCAACCATTCGATTTCACATCCAACGGTCAATAATGATTGTGACTTCCTTGTATCAAAAGTAAATGATCTCATTGTATACATTTCCGAAAGTTATTTGATAGGAAAAGTAGATAAAGTGACTATTTACTTTTTGTACAGGGAGGTTAGAATCACTCTTGTCCGTCAGATTTTAAATCGTGCAGTTGTAAATGTGTCATTGACTAGACTCAAAGTTCAAAAGAAAAAAATCATTAAAGGTGACTCACCCCAAGCTTTTCAATTTGACATCTAATGATTAGGAACGATCCTGACCTCCTTATAACAATGATACATGGTCTCATAATGTATGATCCCTATTCAATATTGCTTCTAGTTGACAAGGCTAACAATTGACATTACTTAATTTAGATATTGGCAACATTCAAACATGTATCCCTTCGTGTATCTGATTTATTGAAAAAAAAAAAAAAAAGATTTCAGAGTACACCAAGATAACGAGACAGATGGTACAATCCACATGTAAAAAGATCAAATGGGACAGGAAAATGATTTGACTTTGCTAAAGGTTCCTCATGAATTTACACCTAATGGGAAGGTCCCAAGAATTCCCAAATCCAAAATTTATCAATGAAAGAAAATGCTGTGCATGATGCGGGCTTTAGCGTGTCGCCACAATCTACCATATAAATTTTAGAACCAACTGCCAGAAAAAAATGAGAGGAACTGTTGCATATATTAAAGCAGCAAATTGCAAAGAAAGTACTTTAGCTAATTTGATAAAACGACGGAGATGGAAGCATTTTAACCATTTCTAAGCATTTCAGGCTAATTCAGCTATATGCATGTGAGAGAGAGAGAGGGGGAGAGAGAGATTGCACATTGTTAAGCAAGTGAACTAAAGGCGCTAAAGGAACCTGCAGCCAAAAGTTTGTGGCAGAATGCTCTATGCCATTTGGGCTAATGGGGCTACACCTCTCTCTCTCTCTTGCCCCCACCCCCAAAACAAAACAAACACACAGAAAGCTTGCGATTGTAATACACTCGTACCTCAATCTCCGGATCTGCAACCACATACTGCTTCAGAAGCTTGTCTCCAAAAGCACGTGAGACAGCAAGAACCCCACCGACTCGCCAAGTGCCTGAAAGTAATAATAGAATGAAGAGTAATTTGTTTTAAAGAAGGGGCCACAGTTGACGAAACGTTTTTGGTGAGAGTAACACAATATTTCGAATTTGAGCACGACAAGAGAAACAAGGGGGGTTTTGCACAATTTTATGGGACAGTTGACTAATGAGGGTGTTTGGTTTGAAAAGAAATTAGTACAAATCCTATTTATCACAACTTAGGAATATGGTATAATCCAGAAGCTACGTCAAATCTATGAAGTATGACATGTTCACACTGACGAAGTAACTACTGGTGAAAGAACATGTTTTGCTCTTATGGAAGATATACCAAGTTTTTTATTCTAAATATACCAGGAATCTGAACTTCAAAGAAATAATAGCATCAGGGACTATAAAATCTCATGCAAAACATACCAATTTCTTGTGCTAAATGTACCAGTAATCCAACTTGAACTTCAAAAGATTGATTGCATTATGGACTAGAAAATATTACCAGCCCACATCACAAATCCTCCAGCATCTTCAATGCGCTGCCTCTCATCACTTTGATCTGGCTTGTGATCACGTGACACAGCGATTGCTAGCTCATAGAAAAGGAAATGCAATAACAGAAAAGAGAAACAGGGGATAATTTAGATTTTTCTCTCAAGTCCAATCACATAACTACTCATAATTCATCAATTGATCGAATGGTAAAATATGTATGAGAGAGAGAGAGAGATGGAAGGGGGGGGGTGTGGAGCTTGTACATTACAATTTTCATCCCTTAATAACAGTTCGAGCCCCCGGAGAGAGATTGAAGATTACCATTTCCATCCCTGCAAATAATAACTCGAGAGTCCCCAACATTTGCAACCAGTAGACAGTCTCCTACAATGACAGCAGTGGATGCAGTAGAACCCGCATCTCTGTGCTGATTATTTTCAGACTTCAGGAATTCTGAATCGGTGTGATTGTATGCATCAGCTGCACAAGAAGAAAAATGATTTATGGTAACCTGTCCAAGATATGAATGGCTGCCATCAATTAGGAAGAAGCACTTAATGGTGAAATGAGAATGATAAGGATCACCTATAGCTAACTTGGTGTCAGTGAAGAACTTTGGATGTGATATCAAATTATTGAAAAGATTTTGTTTCACATACTCTGCAGCTCTAACACCTCCATGACCTGAGGATAGATAATACACTCAGAAAATTTCACTCATCCACCATTTAACATAAAAAAGTTCCTCCTCACGTGTAATGGCGAAGTGATGGCCAAGAGAGGGCACGGGCGGGGGGGCGGGGGGAGGGGGGGGGGGGGTGTGGGGGGGGTGGGGTAAGGTGTGGGTTGGGAGGGCAAGCAACATTGGACTGAAGATATAAAATAGGTTTCACAGAATATTCCAATGGCAAATCCAGTCTAGTAAGCATGCAATGTGTACCGTCAAATACTCCAAAAAGGCCCACAATTTGCCCATCAACACTACAAATTTGGGTTTCATAGAAGTCTTCCATAGAAGACCTTTTCCCAGGCGAGCTTGCATATCCATAGCTGAACCTCTTATTTTGACTGCCACAAGAGACAGCTGCTTAAGTACTCCATATTTATTTCAATCTCAAAAAATTGTTAATGGAACTTCTAAACAAGATATTACTTGCGCTATTAATCAAGCACTAACTGAATAAAGCATAGATCTGCTCCCTTTTCCAAAACACATTTATCCCTTATAACAGCAATCACATTCAGCAGACATTAATCTATAAAAAAAAGGTTATTTAGAAGAACGGCATTGCTTGAATGGTGCACAAGGAATACATACAAAAATAAGAACCTCTCACAGAGAAGAATAATTTTAACTGGTAAAACCAATAGCAATGGCAAGGCCATCAATTTACCCTCCTGATAAGAACAATTAGGAATGTGGAACCTCGATTCTAATAGAAAGATACACACTGATCCAATGTCTGGGGTTCTAGTGCTTACAACTCAAAGCAAATAGTGAAAAAAACATTTGATTCTTTAAATGCCTTGAGAAGATGCAAGTGTTATGCAAGACTGCAAGGAAACTAAAGTATGTCAGTGTCTTGAGTCTTGAATCTTTGTGTTCTGAAATAAATTGTGTATGTATGTCACTAGAGGTCAAGGAGAACCACATAGGAAGGTTTATGCAGATAAATGCCAGTAGATGATGGGAGGTATGTCATGTTCCATAGAGTCAGTGATCAATGTTCAGAGTAAAAAGGAGACATTTAATTCCTCAAAAAAAAAAAAGGAGACATTTCAACTTTTCTGGGAACACTACCGAAGTTTTGCACTTTCAAAAGAAATTGGGAAAGAGACAAATGGGAAAGTCCTATATTGGAAGGTTTTCTATTACCATAGCCAATGTTCAAAAAGACAAATTCGAGTGCCAAGGTGGTTTGGGTGTCTAACCGCCAAGGCGGTCGAGTGGCCGCCTAGGCGGGCTCCCACAGATAGGGTGCCCTCACCAAAATCAAATACGGCTTTCAAATAGGGTGCCCTCACCAAGCCGTATATACGACTTTCATCAAATACGGCTTTCCACAAAATTCCATATGTATCTATGGGATTGAGTATGGAATTCTCTGTACTCACTTTAGATTGAGTATCCGTTTCCCTCCTTTTCCTCCTATGATTGAAAATCCTGTATTTTACATATCGAATACGATCGAGTCCTTGGGTTTCCGAAAGAGTGTAAAAAGAAGTGCTTCGAATCATTGCTATTTGACTTGGATCTGTTCTGTTCTGAAAAAGTCGAGGTATTTCAAATCATTTGTTGACACGGACAAAGTCAAGGAAAACCTCTGAAATGATTTCAATATTGGACCTTGGACATATAATAGTTCTGAATCTCTTTAGAAGGAAGACTTTTGTCTCATGGTAGCCTGCTCCAGTCCCCTTATGAAACTTTCGTTATTGGGTTGGCCATGTACTTCACATGTTTCTAGCGATTCACATGGCATCATCAAATGATACAAGTCTTGGATAAGAATCTACAACGCACTAGAATGCCCTTGTTGACGATCCTTTACTTTGACAGCATCTAGGGTTCCTCGAACAATGTGATATCTCACACCGGGTAAATCCTTAACCCTCTTCTCTTCTTAATACTACATAATGTTCTTGTGAATTCTGGCCAATACCAAGTATATAAGTAGTGATTTCAAATCCAGAGGTTAATCGTACTTTGGCAACTTTATGTAAGGCAGAGTTTGGTTTTTGGGGGTGATAGTGGAAAAGTTGACAAATAAATCACCCTTACTGTCACTCTACAGAACCGTACATGAGATTTTCAACTCATATGGCTCCTCGTTCAATTCTTTCGAAGTAATTGGATCCTTTTCCTCGCTTGAGAATCTCCTCCCTTCTTCCACTTCGTCCCGAGGAGTAACTAGGACCAATTCAGTCGCGTTTTCATGTTCCAATTGAACACTTTCTATTTTTGATTATGATCAAAGGAGAATATTCTTCTTTTTACCAAACAGATGCGGATCCAATCACGATCTTATATTCTAATAAGAACAAAAGATCTTTCGCGATCAATTCTTTATTTCTATTTTCTCTCCTCTTTTTCTCTTTTATTTCCTTCCATTATTCCTCAAGTCCCATAGGTTTGATCCTGTAGAATCTGATCCATTTTCTCATCGAGCGAAGGGCACAAAATCAATCAGATTTCTTTTTCGATCAAAACAAAAGTACTATAGTGAGTGTTGTGTGTGAAATCTTCGGTTTTTTCTTATTCCTCTATCCCTATCCCATAGTTACAACGTTTGAATTAATAGATAACTTTTTCTTCTGTATGAATCGATATTATTACATTCCAATTCCTTCCCAATATCTCCCAAGGAAAATCCCGAATTGAATCCCAAATTGACAGGTTAGTGTGAGCTTATCCATTCGGTTATGCACTCTTCGAACATGAATCAATTTTCTGAAAGATCTTGGCTTTCGTGCTTTGGTGGGTCGTCCGCGATCCTTTCGATGATCTATGTTGAAGGGATATCTATATGATCCGATCGATTGCGTAAGGCACGTGGTAGCAACGGAGCCGGGAAAGTCTAGGGAAGAGAGTTCTTTTCTATTATATTTATTATACTCTTATATTAGCGGCTCGGTGAGTCCTTTCTTCAGTGATGAACTATTAGCACCAGTCCTACATTTTGTCTCTGTGAGCCGAGGAGAAAAGGGGGGGCCCGCTCATCGGGAAGAGGAATGTACCATGAGAGAACAAGAAGGTCAACCTGATTCAAATATACAACATGGATTCTGGCAATGCAATGTAGTTGGACTCTCATGTCGATCCGAATGAATCAGTCTTTCCACGAACCACAGAGGTAAATCTTTGTCTGCTAGGCAAGAGAATAGCAAGTTACAAATTCTATCTCGGTAGGACATGTATTTCTATTATATTAAGTAGTTAACGGTGGGGTTACCATCATCCTTTTTGTAGTGACGAATCTTGTATGTGTTCCTAAGAAAAGGAATGAGTCCATTTTTCGAGGTCTCAAAAGGGTGTGGAAACACATAAGAACTCTTGAATGGAAATAGAGAGGAGATGTCGCTCAAGTTCCTTCGAAAATGATAAGATCTTTGGCACAAGAAGAATGGGTTGATCCGTATCATCTTGAATGGGTTCTGCTTCCTCTCTTCTTCTTTTTTAACAATACCGAGTTGGGTTCTTCTCCTACCAAACATGCTGAATAAAATTTTCTTCATGTAAAATCTACTTGATTTAGATCGGGAAAATCGTGCAGATTTTATAAAACCATGTGTTATGGCTCGAATCCGTAGTCAATCCTATTTCCAATAGGATATACACAGTTGATAATTGAATCCAATTTTTCCCATTATTTCCGTATCCGTAATAGTGAGAAAAGAAGGCCCGGCTCCGAGTTGTTTAGGAATAGTGGAATAGTGGCGTTGAGTTTCTCGACCACCCTTTGACTTAGGATTAGTACGACCACCCTTTGACTTAGGATTAGTAAGTTCTATCTCTCGATAGGTGCAGGGAAGGGATATAACTCAACGATAGAGTGTCACCTTGACATAGTGGAAGTCATCAGTTCGAGCCTGATTATCCCTAAACCCAATGTGGGGCTTTTTATTTTGACTTGCTCCCTTGCGGTGATCGAATGAGAATGGAAAAGAGGCTCATGGGATTGACATGAGAGGGTAGGGATGGCTATATTGCTGGGAGCAAACTCCAAGCTAATATGAAGCATATAAATACAAGTTATGCCTTGGGATGAAAGACAATTTCGAATTAGCTTTGTCCACAAAGAAGGAAGCTATAAGTAATGCACCTATGAATTTCATGGAGAGTTCGATCCTGGCTCAAGAATCCGCCCAAGGAGGGGCTCACGTCTGCTTAGCTAGTTGGTGAGGCAATAGCTTACCACGACGATGATCAGTAGCTGGCCCGAGAGGATGATCAGCCACACTGGGATTGAGACATGGCCCAGACTCCTACGGGAGGCAGCAGTGGGGAATTTTCCGCAATGGGGGAAAGCTTGACGGAGCAATGCCGCGTGGAGGTAAAAGGCCTACGGGTCATGAACTTCTTTTCTCAGAGAAGAAGCAATGACGGGATCCGAGGAATACGCACCGACTAACTCTGTGCAAGCAGCCGCGGTAAGACAGAAGATGCAAGCGTTATTCGGAATGATTGGGTGTAAAGCGTCTATAGGTGGCTTTTCAAGTCCGCCGTCAAATCCCAGGGCTCAACCCTGGACAGGTGTTGGAAACTACCAAGCTAGAGTATGGTAGGGACAGAGGTAATTTCCAGTGGAGCGGTGAAATGCGTAGAGATCAGAAAGAAAACCAACGGCGAAAGCACTCTGCTGGGCCGACACTGGCATTGAGAGATGAAAGCTAGAGGAGCGAATGGGATTAGGTACCCCAGTAGTCCCAGTTGTAAACGATGGATACTAGGCATTGTGCGTATCGACCCGTGCAGTGTTGTAGCTAATGCTTTAAGTATCCTGCCTGGGGAGTACATTCGCAAGAATGAAACCCAAAGGAATTGACTGGGGCCCGCACAAGCGGTGGAGCATGTGGTTTAATTCGATGCAAAGCGAAGAACCTTACCAAGGCTTGACATGTCGCGAATTCTCTTGAAAGAGAGGGGTGCTTCGGGAACACAGACACATGTGGTGCATGGCTGTCGTCAGCTCGTGCCGTAAGGTGTTAGGTCAAGTCCCGCAACAAGTGCAACCCTTGTGTTTAGTTGCCACCATTGAGTTTGGAACCTTGAACAGACTGCCGGTGATAAGCTGGAGGAAGGTGAGGATGATGTCAAGTCATCATGCCCCTTATACCCTGGGCGACACACATGCTACAATGGTTAGGACAAAGGGTTGTGATCCTGCGAAGGTGAGCTAACTCCAAAAACCCATCCTCAGCTAGGATTGCAGACTACAACTTGTCTGCATGAAGCCGGAATCGCTAGTAATCGCCGGTCAGCCATACAGCGGTGAATTTGCTCCTGGGCCTTGTACACACTGCCTATCACACTATGGGAGTTGGCCATGCCCGAAGTCGTTGCCTTA